GGACAGATATGGGATGGATGGATGCAGGATAGACACAGGTGTTGGTGCCAGGTTGCAGGTGGATGGATGGAGGTGGGATAGATGCAGGATGGATGGATATGGGATGGATGGATACAGGATGAACAGAGGTAGGATGGATGCAGGGTGGATATGGGATGAATGAGGGTGGTTCCCATGGGTGTCAGTGCCCAGGTGCAGATGGGATGGATGAATACAGGATGGATGGATACTGGATGGATGGATAGATGCAGGATGGGTACGGGATGGATGGATGGATGTGGGATGGGTACGGGACAGATGGATGTGGGATGGAAGGATGTGGATGGATGGATGTGGGATGGATGGATGTGGGATGGGTATGGGATGGATGGATGCAGGACGGGTATGGGATGGATGGACACGGGACGGGTACAGGATGGATGGATGCGGGATGGGTACAGTATGGGATGGATGGATGCGGGATGGGTACAGTATGGGATGGATGGATGTGGGATGGGTACGGGATGGATGGATGCGGGATGGGTACGGTATGGATGGATGGATGCGGGATGGGTACAGGATGGATGGATGTGGGATGGGTACGGGATGGATGGATGCGGGATGGGTACGGTATGGATGGATGGATGCGGGATGGGTACAGGATGGATGGATGTGGGATGGGTACGGGATGGATGGATGCGGGATGGGTACGGTATGGATGGATGGATGCGGGATGGGTACAGGATGGATGGATGCGGGATGGGTACGGGATGGATGGATGGATGTGGGATGGGTACAGGACGGATGGATGCAGGATGGGTACGGGATGGATGGATGCGGGATGGGTACAGTATGTATGGATGGATGGATGCGGGATGGGTACGGGATGGATGGGTGTGGGATGGGTACAGGACGGATGGATGCCGGATGGGTACGGGATGGATGGATGGATGTGGGATGGGTACAGGATGGATGGATGCAGGATGGGTACGGGATGGATGGATGTGGGATGGGTACAGTATGGATGGATGGATGCGGGATGGGTACGGGATGGATGGGTGTGGGATGGGTACAGGACGGATGGATGCAGGATGGGTACGGGATGGATGGATGTGGGATGGGTACAGGATGGATGGATGCAGGATGGGTACGGGATGGATGGATGTGGGATGGGTACAGTATGGATGGATGGATGGATGCGGGATGGGTACGGGATGGATGGGTGTGGGATGGGTACAGGATGGATGGATGCAGGATGGGTACGGGATGGATGGATGTGGGATGGGTACAGTATGGATGGATGGATGCGGGATGGGTACAGGATGGATGGGTGTGGGATGGGTACAGGATGGATGGATGCAGGATGGGGTTGGTCCCCGTGCCTGGCGCAGGTGGCTGCACAGCAGCAGGAGTCGGCCACGACGCAGAAGGCGGAGCGGGAAGTGTCGCGCATGGTGGTGGTGATGGTGGGGTCCTTCTGCGTCTGCTACGTGCCCTACGCGGCCCTGGCCATGTACATGGTGAACAACCGCGAGCACGGCATCGACCTCCGCCTCGTCACCATCCCCGCCTTCTTCTCCAAGAGCTCCTGCATCTACAACCCCATCATCTACTGCTTCATGAACAAACAGGTGACACCCGGGGACACGGACACCACGGGGCACGGCAGGGACGTCCAGGGACACACAGGGAAAGCCGGGTGGTGGGGACAGCACAAGACACATGGAAAATGGGGACACCATGGGACACAAGGGCAACGGGGACACCCCGGGGCATCCAAGGACATCTGGTGAGCAGAGACACCCCAGGACACCCAGATAATGGGAACATCATGGGATACACAGATGATGGTGACACCTGGACAATGTCCTGTCGTGAGACACCTGGATAATGGGGACACCATGGGGTACACGGACGATGGGGACATCTGCTCGAGAATATGTGGGGACCAGGGACATCATGGGATATAAGGATGATGGGAACATCTAAGCAAGGTTGGGCTATGGGGACACCACAGGACACAGGCAGTGGGCACATCCAGGGACACATGGACAATGGGGACATCCAGGGGTTGGGGAACATCTGGAGACCAGGGACATTCCTGGACACATGGGCAATGGAGCATTGTGGGACACAAGCGTGATGGGGACACCCAAGGAAACCTGGATGTTGGGGCCATCACGACAATGGGAACACCCCGAGGTGCTCAAGGACATCTGGGGACCTGGGACATGTGGATGATGGGGACATCATGGGACACAAGGACAGTGGGGACACCCAGGGGTTCAAGAACATCGGGGGACATAAGGATGATAGGGACATGCAAAGAAACCTGGGTGATGGGGACACCCAGGGACACACAGACAGTGGGCACATCCAGACATCAGGGCAATGGGGACACATTGGGGTGCTCAAGGACATCTGGGGAGGGGGCCACCCCAGGACACCAGGGGAATGGGGACACCACAAGGCACACCAGCAATGGGGACACCATGGGTTTGATGGAGACATCCAATAGCTCAAGAATTATCTGGGGACCAGAGGCACCATGGGACATAACGATGATGGGGACACCCCTGGCTGCCCAAGTATATCCAAAGACACCAGGGCAACGGAGGCACCACAGGACACATGGATGATGGGGACATCCCAGGACACCAGGGCAACGGGGACACACTGGGGTACCCAAAGACATCCATGGACCAGGAATGTTGGGGACGTTTTTGGACCAGGATCACCCAGGGATGCCTATGGAGACCAGGGACACACAGGGACTGAGGACATGAAGGAGCACCCAGACACCGGGGACACCCTGGGTTGCCCATGGGGACAAGGATGACTCAGGGATGCCCATGGAGCGGGAACCATGAACACCTTGGGATGGGCATGAGGGACACTTGGGCATGCCCAGGCCATCTCCACATCCTCTGAGCCAGGAGATGCTACCAAGGTGCCACCAAAGGGGTAGAAGATGGTGCCAGGGATGGGGACCATGGGGCTGATCCCCTCCATTCCCCCCGCAGTTCCGTGGCTGCATCATGGAGATGGTCTGTGGGAAGCCCATGACGGATGACTCGGATGTGTCCAGCTCTGCCCAGAGGACAGAGGTCTCCTCTGTGTCCTCCAGCCAGGTCAGCCCCAGCTGAGGAGCCGCCAGCCACAGCCCCCCCTGCCATGGGGCTGGGGCCACCCCAGGATGTAGGTGCTGGTGGAACAATAAAGCACCACCCTGGTCCCAATTCAGTGAGGAGCTTCTGTGGCCCCACAATGGGGTGGGGATGGGGGGACTATGTGTGGGGCTCAGCCCCACAGTGCTGTGTGCCATGGAGGTGTCACTGTGGGGCTTTGCACCATTGGCCTGCCCAGGACACACAGGCAGGGATGTGGGATGGTGTCCACCATCCATCCATGCGGCTGAGCTGCTCATCTGTGGGGCTGAGGTGGTTCTGGACCCCTCATCCATGGGGCTGGAGTGCTTCTGGATCTCATCTATGAGGCTGGGGTGGTCCTGAGACCCCCACACATGGGGCTGGGCTGGATCCCAGCATGAGATTGAGGCAAGGATGGATCCCATCCATAGGGTTGGGGTGAAGCTGGGGCCTCATCCATGGGGCTGTGGTGGTTCTGAGCCCCATATCCATGGGGCTGGGGCGGTTCTGAGCCCCACAGCCATGGAGCTGGGGCAAGACTGGACCCCATCCATAGGGCTGGTGTGGGGTTGAACTGCATCCATGGGGCTGGGGTGGTGCTGGGAGCTCATCCATGGGGCTGGAGCAGGACTGGATCCCATCCACAGGGCTGGGAACCAGTGGGCAAGACCCCCCCATCCCCACACATTCCCTCATGGTCTCGGGACCCCCCCATCCCAACTCATGGCGGGGGTGGGAAGCGATTCTGGAGCCACATCCACCCTCTCCAGCCACGTAACCACTTCCAAAGGAAGCGATGCCATTGGTGCCCATCCCGCTCCAGGCAAGCCAAGGGGTGGGCACCCCTCCAGGGCCTGACTTTGGGATAAAGCCAAAGGAATTCCATTAGGAGGCAGCGTGGGATGGATGGAGCCGGGATTTATTGAGCCACAGTTGGACACAACTGAACCCATCCCAACAAACACCCAGGGAATAAACATGGTGGGATGAGGGGATGGGAATTTGGGAAGGAAATTAGTGTTTGGAGTCATTAATGCTGCTCCCAGTTTCAAATCCATTTGGGAAGAGGAAGTTGGAGTCAAATCCCAGACCGGGATCACTGCATCCACCACTGAGCTCTACCCAAATCCAACTGGGAAGAGCACCTATCCCTGTGGTTGGTGGTTTAACCCCTGGAGTGGGATTGAGGGCAGAATCCGGGTGGATTTTCCATACATCCCCTCAACCAGTGACTGGCACCAACCTCTCAACCAGAGTCAGATCCATGTTGATGCCAGCTGGTGCCAGGATGGAATCATGACATTCCCGGATCCACATGGTTTAAAAACAAGGGAATTATGGATAATATTAATATTAACATTATTCATCATCATCCTGCCCTGGCTGGGCCGTTTCTCCTCGGAATGGGGGTGTTTGGCTGGATTAAAGGCACCTGGAGCAACATTCCGGGGTGGAAAAGAGGGAAAACACTTGGATGGGCAACAAGAAGCCACCACCACATTGATGGTTCATTAACAGGCCCATTAATGACTGGAGGACACGATGGTGGCCAACTGAAGCCAATGGAGAGGGAGTTTGGTGGTTCCAGCTCTTCCAGCAAGACAAGAGCGGTTGGGTTGGCCAAGCTGGGTCCATCCCAATCCTGGCTCTACTCCAGCTCTGGTTTAGTGCTGGGTTTCCATCAGGTTCAATGGATTTTGGGCTTAGTAAAGTCAATTACTTGGATCTTGATTGGTTGAATTTGTTGGAGTCCACCCCAAGGAGGAAAGGCCAAGAGCGAGGGTGGGTGAAGGGGAAGCCAGGAGGTGGCTTCTTGGGAGGAGGAGGAGGAGGAGGAGGAGGAGGAGGAGGAGGAGGAGGAGGAGGAGGAGGAGAAGTTCCTTCACGTCACACGGAACCCTCCTAGTATAAAACCCAGACAACGTGGCTCAAACCACCAGAGAATGAGTCAATCTAAAAAAAACACCCCCCAAAAACCCCCAACTGAACCCCAAAAGCGCCGTTAAGAAGCGTTGGGTCTCCCAACGGCATCTCCCCATCCCTTCGGGAAGGAAGGAGGAGATGGAAAGAGGACGGGAAGAGAGGGTTTCGTTGGCGACATTGCACCTCAGTGCCTGACCCCACCGGGCTCGGGAGCCCCCAAATGTTTCCGACCATCAATCCCAGGAATTGGAAGCAATAAATTACGTGGGAATGGCTCCAGGCTCAGAACTCGTCGTGTCTCACCAAGGCCTCCCCGAAGTCCGTGGCCTGGCTCCCCACAAACAGGTCGTACTTCTCCACGATCTCCTCCTTGGTCAATTTGCCATCCTGCAGGGAAAGAGGGATATTCCCATCCTCAGCCCTCCATCGCATCCCATTTTCCCACGGTTCTCCCTTCTTTTGGTCTACCAAACCCAACTCAACCCCTCCATGGATGCTCAGCACAACCCTGGTGGGACACCCAAGCGTCCTCCTCACACCACGGTGCCATTCCCACCTTGTTCTGGTCGGATTCGTAGACAAGGTGCCGCGCTTCCGCCTCGGCGTGGTCGTAATCGGAAGGGAGGATCCAGTCTTTGGTTTCCTCTTTGTCCATCCTGCCGTCGTGGTTCTTATCCCGGAATTCCACAAACTGCTCCCGCTCCGTTTTCACCCACTCGGGTTCGTCGGCATCACCGTCGTGGCTGTACATGTCACCTATAGGACACAATTATCTGCTTGGACACCATCCCAACACCTCTTCCCAAGGGAAGAACCACCGCTGAGATGCCTCTGTTGATGGACACGTTGACAAGATGCCCCCTTCCACCTTCAAGTATTCACTTTATATCCCTAAATCCCTCTCCAAACCCACATGGAAAGGAAAGCAGCATTTCTCCTGATGTATTTTGGAGTTAGCAGCCCCGCACCACGGATAAATCCCAAGTTTTGGGCAGATATAGCCACCCCTCTGGGATCTGGGAGCTGCTTTTCCCACCCTGAGCCCCCAGTACCAGGATATAACACAGGAATCCCTCATGGAATGAGGTCAAAGCAAGGTCTAAAGTCAGGAGGTCAAGAGAGATAAAATTCCAAGGGGGGAAGGGATGGGACAGCACATTCCAGCAGCAAATTTCAGGCTGGATGAAGCAAAGAAGGGACAACAGTGATATCTCACCTATGTACTCCTCCAGGTCAATGAAACCATCTCCATTCTTGTCTATGTCCTCCATGGTTTCCTGCAAGGAGAGGATGGTGGGTCCCATGGAATCCCCCTCCTTTCCCAGCACTGATCCAGCCACAGGATGTCCAAAACCCCCCAGTATCCAGGATCTTACCACAGGCCAGCTCCTGGTGCCCACCCAACCTTCTCCATCTGCTTGCTCAGTACCAGCAGGACGAGGCCACCCACCTGCACAACAATGTCCTTCATGTAGTCGTACTCCTCGGGGTGCAGGAAGGCCGTGAACTCTTCCTTGGTGGCCGTCAGGTCCCCATCCTTGTCGGCCAGCTTGAAGCGCCGCTCATCCCGCACCATCATCTGCTTGTAGTTGAAGCCATCGTCAGGGTCCGGGTCATCTGAGGGGAAGAAAGGAGCCAGGGGTCAGCTTGGGCAGGGGGAGGTGGCTCATGGGCATGAGAAGCACAACACAATATCAGCAGCGTGACGTGAGGCTCCTCAATGCAACTTCAACATCCTCAATGCTCCTCAACCCAACCTCAACCTCTTCAACGCAACCTCAAGCTCCTCAATTCAACTCCCTCAACCTCAACTCAATCCCGATGTCTCAATGTCCTCCACTGAACCCCAAACTCAACATCCTCAACTGCCTCAACCCAACCCCAACCTCAATCCCAGTATCTCCAACTTAACCTTCTCAACCCAACCCCAACATCCTCAACGCTATCTTAACATCCTCAACTCAACCTCAATATCCTCAATGTCCTCCACTGAGCCCCAACCTCAGCATCGTCAACCTTCTCAATCCAACCCCAACCCCAACATCTCCAACTCAACCTTCTCAACCTAACTCCAACATCCTCAATTCAACCTCAACCCCAATATCCTCAATGTCCTCCACTGAGCCGCAGCCTCAACATCTCCAACCCAACCTTCTCAGCCTAACCCCAACCCCAACATCCACAACTCAAACCCAACATCTCCAGCTCACACTTCTCAACCCAACCCCAGCATCCTCAATGTCCTCCTCTGAACCCCAACCTCAACCCCAACATCTCCAACTCAACCTCAACCCAACCCCAACATCCTCAACATCCTCCACTCAGTTCCAACCCCAACATCCCCACCTCAACCCCCTCAACCCAACCCCACCCTCCTAACCCCTGTCCACAGCAGCCTCACTTTTATCTGCCAGCAGCTACCACATCCCTCCTGCACCAGCCCCAGCAGGAGCTGCCGGGAGCAGCATTCCCAGATCTCTGCTGGACCCAGGGAGCCATGGCAGGGTGGGGGGGGGGTTATTTTGGCTGTCACGGGCCCGGCGGCTCAGCCCGGGCTATTTCTGGAGCAGAATGTGTAAGGGGATATTGCTCCAAAGCCCGGGATCCATCACCCACAGCAGGAATAGCTGGGCACATATGGACACCCGATATAGCCACAGCGACAGCAGGATACCGGCAGCAGCTTTGTTTGGGAAGCCTATAGGGAAAAGAGGGATGGAAGAGGCTGGAGCCGAAGGTGAAGTTAAGCAAGAGCCAAGGCCTGGACTAAGATCAGGCTCAGTCCCTTCCCTGTTTTCATCCAGTACAAAAGGGGGGATTCAGCTGCTCTAAAGCACAATTAAACCTCATGTTTCCTATTGTATTCCCGAGGTTTCACCCCAAAAGCAAAGGAAAACCATAGGATTGGATTGAGCTTTAACTGAGAAGCGAGCAAGATGCTGGTTTAACTGGATTTGGGGCTTAAGCTGCCCCCAAATACTTGGAATTTTAGTCTCTCTGACCCTGGTGGCACAAGGGAAATGTCTTCCAGGGCAGGTGGAGGGATTGAGAGCCAGGGAATGACTCTGGAGCAATTCCACAAGCTCCAGTTTTATAGGAGAAACAGGGATATTTGGGGTTTAGCAGCCAGCAGTGAGAGCCTGGGGGGGGCTGAAAGAGGGAAAAAATATGTGTTATTATTATTAGAGTTCCTATTTTCAGGAAGTTTTAAAGGGAGTTTCACTCCCAGATGCAGCTTTGGGACTCTTTTCACTTCAGCATCACATTTTATCTTTGGATGCTTGGGAATGGATTGAAACCTGGCACCAACTTGCTCTGAGCTGCTTCATCCCGACAACAGGTGACTAAAACCATCCCAAATCCACCCAAAAGCATTGCTCCAGGATGACAAAAGGCCGGCATTCCTGCAACCCTCAGCAGAGCAGCAGAGAGGGAGGTGCCTCGGCTCCCACGCGCCGGGATTGGGATGTGCTCACTCCAGGCCGGGATCAGAGGCCTCTTGGCCGCCTCTCAACTCTCCCGAGGTATTTCCAGAGGCATTTCCAACGCTGCTCTGGGTGGAGAGGGGAGCAGGGAGGGGAGAGCTTTGTGCTCTGCTCCAGCAGAGAGGAGAGGTGGAAAAGCGATTCCAGCTGATACAAGGAGCGTGGAAGCGTGGCATTAGGCAGGAGAATGGGGAGATTGGGATGCTCCCAGTGTTCCATATGGGTAAAATACGTGGGAGCAGCTTGATGAGCATGTGCCAAGGGCACTTGGCAGCAGACACCAGGCCTTGGTGGCACCTGAGTGCCCTGAGGCACTCCCCTCTCTTGCTATTGAAGCTTAAGAACTGGTTTCCTCATCGAGGCTCTCCTCACTAAGGGGGTTTAACCCATTAAGGTGGGGTTTATGAAGGACTGTACACCCCCAGCTCATAAAACCCACTGCATGGACCCCAAAAAGCACAATCAAACCATCCTAGGACCTTTCCTCCTGCTTGAAGCCTGGATTTAGAGGAGGAGATAGGCCAGACCTTCTCAACACCCAACTAATGGATAAGAGAAGCTGTCCCAGCCCTGAGGAGCTCAGTGAGACCTGGTGGGGTTTTGGGGGGCTCATTTCTCCAGCCAAACCTCAACTTTCCCCCCAGTTCCTTCCAAAGGAGCCTAGAAACAAGGATGATGGATGAGGCAAGAGCCTCCATAGGTCCTGCAGAGCATTTGACCATCTTTGGCAATATTTAGTCAATGAAAACCTTATCTCATGCTCTCAAGCTGGAGCTCATCACACCATATATGTCAGCGTTCCAAGAGGCAGGAACAACTGGCAGAGGAGCTGGGAGAGCTTCCTCATGTCTTAACCCCCGAAGAGCTTCTTCTTACTTCACTCCTTGGGGTGGTTTAAGTCCTCATGGGGGCTCCTGACCTGACTTGGGTGGCAAAACCTACAAGCTCTGTGGATAAGGGGGATAGGGGGATATCCCCTTGATAAGGGGAAGGAGGGAGATGTGCACAAGGAGAAGACTCTTTGCTAAAGATCTTCCAACGATTTAGGTGGAGACACCCAGAAAGAGGCTTCTACAGCCAGGGGTTAGTTGGTGTCTCTCTGCAGGGGCTAAATGCCACCAGGAGCTTGAAATTCAGAAGGAAGAAGGTGGAATTTAGATGGGATCTGAGGGAGTTCTTCACTATGAGGGTGGTGGGACACGGAATGGTTTGAACTCCAGCTGCCCCATCCCTGGCAGTGTTCAAGGCCAGGTTGGACACAGGGGCTTAGAGCAACCTGCTCTAGTGGAAGGTGTCCCTGCCTGTGGCAGGGGGTTGGAAATGGAGGAGTTTTAAGGTCCCTTCCAACACAAACCATTCTCTGATTACATAATTCCATGCCAAGAAGCACTCCACAAGGGCCTTGCCCCCAACTGAGCGTTGAGCTCCATTCCATAGTGAAGCACATCAATAAAGCAGAGTTAAAGCCACGTGCTGATGCCCAACTTCACTCAGGGGATGGTTTCTCCCCCATCTTTAGTTTTCCCTTTGATTAATGCCACCAGAAGGTCAATTTGGAGTTTTGGGAGGGGGGAGGCTGGAGCTCCTCATACCTCTGCTTTATTGATTCGAGCCCACCACCAGCCGGGGCCACCTCGTCCCTTACCGAGGTACGTGCCATACGTCACGTTCCTGTACTCATCCCAGGAGATAAATCCATCTTGGTTCATGTCAAACTCCTGCCACTGCCGTTCCACACTGTCATACACGTATTTCTTCTGGGCCTTCTTAATCCAGGCTTTGAGCTCCCCCTCGGTCACAAACCCATCCTTATCCGTGTCTATTTTAGCTACAATCACTCTACAAAAACAAAACAGCAAGTTTCAAGCGCCGGCTCCATACAGGTTGTATCCCATGAGTAGGAACCTACCTAAGATGTAGCCGTAGGTGGCATTTTTATACTCCTCCCATGAAATAAGGCCGTCCTCATTGAGGTCGTGCCCCTTCCACTGCCGCTCTACGTCCTCGTAGATCCACCGTTTTTGGGCAAACTTAATCCAGGCTTTGAGCTCCTCCACCGTTACAAACCCGTCCTTGTCTTCATCTATCTTACTTACAATCTTTCTGTGGGGAACGCAGAGAAAAATCCAGCACAAGTTAAAGGAAATGAAGGGGTTGGGTCTATATGGACAGGCCAAGGTGGTTCATCCCCATGACCACATGGAGAACTTGTCTGTACAAGTAAGGAGTGGCTGAGGTGGTTGAACCTCCTTTGCTCACTGCTGAGCACATCAGGGGTTGTGCTCTTTGGGAATGAGGTGTTTTAGGGAGGAATGTTTGCTCCTTAGACCTTGGGAAATGAATCTGTTTACACTTCGGGGTGTTAGTGCATGAGAAGCTCAACAGAATCCATCATGTGCTGCACCCCCCAGAGCATGAGCAGCAGCTCAGGGAGGGGATCCTGCCCCTCTGTTGCGCTCTGGGGAGATCCCCCCTGCAGTCCTGATCCAGCTCTGGGGCAGCAGCACAAGAGGGACGTGGAGCTGTTGGAGCGAGTGCAGAGGAGGCCACGGAGATGCTGCGAGGGCTGGAGCAGCTCTGCTCTGGAGCCAGGCTGAGAGAGCTGGGCTGGGGCAGCCTGGAGAAGAGAAGGCTCCTGAAGGGGAGACCTGAGAGCAGCTCCAGTGCCTGAAGGGGCTGCAGGAAAGCTGGAGAGGGGCTTTGGACAAGGGCCTGTAAGGACAGGCCAAGGGGAATGGCTTTAACCTGCCAGAGGGGAGACTGAGATGAGCTCTTAGGCAGAAGCTCTTCCCTGTGAGGGTGCTGAGGCGCTGGCACAGGGTGCCCAGAGAAGCTGTGGCTGCCCCATCCCTGGCAGTGTTCAAGGCCAGGTTGGACACAGGGGCTTGGAGCAAGCTGCTCTAGTGGAAGGTGTCCCTGCCTGTGGCAGGGGGTGGAGCTGAAGGAGCTTTAAGGTCCCTTCCAACCCAAAACCATTCTGCGAGTCTAAACTGGGAAGGAACACAAAGGCTGTCTCTGGGGCTGAGCACACCCTCCCAGGGCACTGGTGGGACACATCCAGGTCCAATCCCACCCGTTTATCCTGAGGCAGAAACCGGAGCCGCTGGCACGGGGCCGCTGTTATTTATAGCAGCAGCTGTGAGGGAGGAATGTGGATCCATAGGCAGATGCACACGGGCCAGGAGGGGGGAGAGGGTCTGCTTCAGCCTCACCATTCCTCATGGTTTACTCCTAGGAGCAGCCGTGGGGTTTGCAGGGTGCGGAGCCAGCACAACACATCACAGTGCTGGGTGCTGAGGCCCAGAGATGAGAGCTCCAAAGTGTTCTTATCACAGAAAGCAAAGCCCATAGATGGCCCAAAGGGCATTCCCAAAAGGTGGAGAACTGGGATAAAACCATTGCTTAGAGAAGCGTCTTTATACTCCATTTAACCAGTTTGATGACCACAATTTAACCCGTTTGATGACCATGCACCGTGTTTTGGATGCCAGAACCACTTTAATACACATTATTCCTGACTGGTGGGCATCATCCTTCTCTGGATTATCCCACAATGGGCTCTGAGGACTGGACTCCCTGGGGAATTTCCCCCAGCTGCTTCTCGGTGTTAAATCAGAGCCATTGTGGTTTCTGTGATACCAAAGCGCGCAGTGGTTGCAGCAGCAGGAGGTGACAGAGCAGAGGCTACACCAGGAGGCTGGGACAGGGGCAGATACCACATGAACCCACTTTTTGTGGGAATTCTGGCCAGGAATGATGGAACACAGCCCCCAGCTGCAACCTAAGGGGCTGCTGGGCACCGGGACAAGGCTACATTGGAGCAGAACCAGCCTTCGAGCTGGTCTAGCGGCTTCGTGCCCAAGCCCGAAGTTCCCAGGCTGGTTTCCCAGGGCAGGAGCCACCAAATCCATGAGTTTTAGGCAAAATAATCCCGTACTCTAGCACTTTGGTCACGGAGGGAGGGGGTGGCAGCAGCTGCTCTGCAGGGCAGGCAGCTGGAAGGAAGGAAGAGGATTCGTGTGCTCTGTGCTATCACTGAGAAACTCAGAGCATTCCCAGAGCGTTGCCTTGATCCTGAAGCTTTTAAGGAACAACCAGAGCAGGGGAACGCTGTTCTGAAATCCCGATGACCTCACGAAACAGGGAAAAGAGCCACAGTGAAAGGAGCCTGGAAAACCAGGTCCTTCCCACAGCCTTAAAGCCACGGCGCCATCAAAACATTCCAAGTGGAAAGTCTGAGGCAGCCCCGCTCCCAGCTGCCAGCTTGTTCCAGGAGATAACTCAGCAGAACAATGGAATTACAAAGCGTGGAGCAGTGAACACAGCCTCGGGGTCAGGAAAACAATCCGGGGAGGGGGGGAATTCCCAGTGTATCCCTATATCCCAGAGCTACATGTTGCCCTTTTGCATCCGCTCCGGCTTTTAGGGGGAGGGAGAGCTTCTTTCCAAGCTGTTTTCCTTGTAAAAAAACACCTGGATTGTCAATTTTGAAGTTTCGTGGCTGATATGGACGGATCCAAAGGGGTTTTCCCAGTTTAGAGCCTCAGGGTAGGGGGGAAATTCCCATTCCAGCCTCTAGAAAAGCCTCTTTTATAGGAGGTGGCATTGGCTTTGCCTCACCTTTATCATGAGCCAGCAGCCTGGACGGTCCATATGGATGTTAAAGCACATGGGAACGCTCAGGTTTTGCCTGGCAAATCCAGGGCTGGAATTAGATGAGCTCTAAGGCCACTTACAAGCCAAACCGTGGGGAAAAAAATAGGGAAAACAGAGGGAAACCAGGCAAAACTGGAGGGTTAACAGGCAGTTTGGATGGTGACAAACCAAGACCTTCAGCCTGACATGGTGAGGAACATCACACCACAAAGCCAAGCCTTTTCCAAAGGTTTAAGCTTTCCTAAACCCATTGGGAACAACTGGGAGAGCAGCTGCTGTCGGGAGCACAAAGGAGGAGGTTGTAGTGCTCTGGATCCAGGGATTTGCCAGGGCTGGAGCTGGGAGTCTCCAATAACCCCCGCTGCTGATGGCTGCAGGTGGGAAGGGGGGAAAAAACACTGGAGGAGAAGTCAGTTTTCAAGGGATTGCCTGTCTTCCCTGACTTGTGGCTCTCCAGCTGCTTCCCAAGTGGGAATAACAACATACAGGAATCCCATGGGCCTTCCAGTGGTAACTGGAGCCCTGTGAGGTCATGTGGAGTACGGCAAAGTGGGGGACGCTTCATATCACATGGAATTCCTAAGGTTTGGGGGCTTAGGAGCAAGTGGGAATGGTTGGGATGACTCAAATTGACCTTGAAGGCCAAGCCCAACATCTCCAGTGGAGAACTCAGCATCCTGCATGCTAAAATGATGCTTTCATGGGTCTACCTGAGACAGCTCAAGGTGCAAAAGACAGAGGTGAAGGCCAAGGTGAGGGTCATGGCCCAGGTGATCCATGCTGGATCGGTTCCTTCCCAACGTGGCCTTACCCCAGCCTCTCCTTGCTCTCCTCCGGCGTGAGCTGGTCGAAGGTCTTGGCCTCATCAGCGCCCAGGAAGGCATCATGGTCATAGTCGAAGCTCTGGGCATCGTCATGGACCTTGTCGCTGAGCTGGGGCTCGTGGTGGACTCGGTCCTTCTTCTCCGTGGGCTTGGAGGAGATGCAGAGCATGGACAGAGACAGGCACAGCAGGAGCTGAGGGATGCTCATGGTGGCTCCGAGGCACCTGCGGGACAGGGAAGATCCAGAAGGTCACTAAGGGAGGATAAAGGAGGGATTCTGGCATCAGAATGGGCAGAGATGAGGGGTTGGTGCAGGATGAGTGGGAAAAGTAGAGTTCATCCAGGTTTTGCACGCAAAGTGAGGCGTTACTGTGGGATATGTCAGGAAAATGATGGATTAATCCGGGTTATGTGGGAAAATGATGACTTCATCCAGTTTATATGGGAAATAAAAAAGGAATTAGTCCATAATTATCTAGGTAAAATGAGTTAATCCAGGTTATGTGGGCATAGTGATGGATTGATATGGATTATCCAGGCAAAATCATGATTAATATGGATTATCCAGACAAAGTGATAAATCAGTGATTATCTGGGAAAAAATGATGGATTAATGGAGACTCTATGGGAAAAATCATTAATCCAGGTTATCCAGGCAAAGTGATGAATTAGTTCAGTTTATGCAAGCAGAATGAGGAATTATTATGGATTACCTAGGAAGAAATGATGAATAGATCCAGATTATGGGAGCAAAATGATTCATTAATATTGATTATCCCAGCAAAATGACGAATCCAGGTTATCCAGGCAGAATGATGGATTAATCCAGGGCATGTGGGCAAAATTCCTACAGATTTACCAGGTAAATTTATGTACAGATTATATGGGAAAAGGATTATTTAATAGAGGAAACCTGGGCAAAATGCTTATTTAAGTCAGGTTATGGGGACAAAGTGAGGAATTAATGGGGATTATCCAGGTAAAGTGATATGTTAGGACAGATTATCCAGGGAAAGTGATGAGCTAACACAGCTTATGTAGGAAAAAAACACTGAATGAATCCAGGTTACCCAGCCAAAGTGATGAATTCATTAAGGTTATGTGGGCAAAGTGATGAATTAACACAGGTTAACTGGGAAGAACAGTGAATTGATCCAGTTATGTGGACACAGTGATGAATGAATCCAGGTTATCCAGGCAAAGTGATAAAATAATCCATATTATATGCTCAGAACAATAAAATTAATCCAGTTATGTGGGGAAAATGATGAATTAATCCAGATTACTGGTGCCTGGTTACAGATAACACAGGTCTCAGAGCTTCCTGGTGCCCATGGAACCCCTCTGAAGTGCCCCATCCCACCTCATTCTCCACATAGAATTCCATTGGTGTGATCCTGCCCCAAAACTGCCTAAATTGATATTTTCCCCGGTGGAAATGAGAAGTTTAAGTGTCCATGCAGCTCAAATCACTCACAGAGGTCAGAAAGGAGAAGCAGGAGAGGGGGGGAAGTGTTTCTAATGGAATAAAAGGAGTTTCCTGCCACGAGGGGTTACTCTCGGTGTGAGGGCAAAGGAATTCCTTTTATTTAAGTCATTCCCATTAATCTGTGCTTGGGATGAGGTGGAGGAGTCCACTGAATCCCCAGGGATTTATCCAGATGCATTTATCTGCACAGGCTGAGGCACTGAAGGAGAGAAGCCAAATGCTGAGGAGGCTGGAGCATTGCCAGGTTTCCTGTTGGGAAAGCTGGAAACCAGGAGGAGAACCCAAAAGCAAGAGGAATCTCATTGCCACGACGGCATCCAGCAACGTGAGGATGCTGAGGGGAGAGGGATGGGATGAGGGTGGAGAGCTAAGAAGAGAATGAGGAAGGATATGTGGAGCCAACCAGAGGGGGAATTATGACATTGGATGTAGGGACAGGACACAGTGAATGGCTTTAAATGGGACAGCAGGGAGAAGATCTTCACTATTAGGGTGGTGGGACACAGAGAAGCTGTGGCTGCCCCATCCCTGGCAGGGTCCAAGGCCTGGTTGGATGGGGCTCGGAAGGACTGGAAAGGAAAGGGGATGAGGAACAACCCTCTTTGCGATCCAAGCTCAATCCACATGGAAAACCCACAATTCCCATCCACCTCTGATGCAATTCAGCATGGCCATGACCTCGGGAATGCCACCAGATCTGTATTTACACACAGCCCAGGCTCTGGCTCGCTCTGAGCACATCCCAGTGCTGAAACCTCCTGCTCGTCCCAAGAGCAGCCCGGCCTGGAGCGTGGGCTGACCTGGAATACTGGAAAGAGCCTGATTTCTATCTCCAATGTCCACACGGAGCAGCCTGGAGATTGCTGAAAGGGACAACCTGACCTCAGAGCCACATCCTGGCCTGGTGCCAGGCGCTGGGAGGCAGGAGCCTCATCTCTGCAGGTGGAAGATGCAGGTTTAGTGCTTGGAATGATGAAACCCCCACAGATCAGCCCATTATGCATCATCAGTTCACAGTTGTGCTGCTCCACCAATGGGATTGAGTCCCAAGATCCCAAATTTTCCTTGGAGCTCTGTGGTTTAGGAAGCAATGAGGCTTTGAGGGGTGTTACATGTTACTCCACAGGGAAGCAAACCACAAACCAGGGATATGGTGGCAACGCTTCCCCCTGTTCCCAGATAAAAGGGTCTTGGCAGCAAACCACAGGGAAGTGGGAAGCAGCAATTAGCAGTGGGAAGTGTTCCCTTGGAGCAGGGTCTCCCGAGGAACTGGGGACTGTGGCTGGTTTGGCTGAGATGCTGCTGGAGAAAATGGGATTCCATGCTGGGCTTGGGGTTGATGTGATATTCCAAGTGGATTCACAGGTGAAAACCCCTTTGGAAGCCTGGATCCAAACCTGGAAGCCCAGCTAACCTCATGGAATAAAGCCCTACAGAGGAGAGAATTAGGCTGAAATTTGGCAATTAGAAGCTAGTTTGGCTTGGAAGAGGTTCAGGCTGTCAGGTAAACCTGGCTCACCAGACAATGGGCTGAACTGGGGAATTCCAAGCATCTGTTTTGGCTTGGAAAGGGTCTGGGCTGCCAGGTAAACCTGGACCACCTGCTAACTGGCTGGAATATGGGAATTAGCCCCTCTTTTGGCTTGGAAAGGGTCTGGGCTGCCAGGTAAACCCAGGTCACCTCTGCAGCGCCCGTTACAACCAGCCACAGCACCGAACGGCCAGGGGGATGCAATGGGAGACACGGTGGGGGGTACACAGAGCCCTGCACCGGTCACAGCTCCTTCGGAAGTCCCTTTGATAAGCTATCAGCAGCGTGTGGTGTCACCAGCGGCACCGACTGAGGCCTTATCTCCACCCATGGGGCTTATCAGGCGCTAAAATATAACAGGGAGAGGGGGGAAACCCCATTTGCACCCCAAAACAACCGCTCACAGAGGAACAGGCCGGGCCCCGGTTGGTCACACTGAGGATGATGGACGGCGGGGGACGAGCCCCCCACACCCCCTCTGCAGCCCGTTATCCCGGTGCTGGATGGGGACACCGGGATCAGGCACCTGGGCCGGGGTTCCAAGATGAGGACGGACCCCGTCGTTCCCCCGGGATGCTGCAGGGACCCGCGGGAGGGAGCAGCCGGCTGCTCTGCCCCCAGTCCCTATGGGAACAACACTGGAAATGGGGTGCGGGGGTCACACAGCGATGCCCCCCCCCCGCCTTGTTCCCATAGCGACCAGCCCCGGCGGCGCTCCGAGGCCCAGCGCGGCCGGTCCCGCGGCACCGCTCGCACACAGCGGCCCCGCAGAGCGGCCCCGGCCGCTGCCTTCCCCCCGAGGGCCGCGTCCCGCCCTCCCCGGCCCCGCTCCGCTCCGCTCCGCTCCGCTCCGCTCCCGCCGCCCGGCCCAGCCCTCACCGTGACCGGAGCCGCCGCCGCCCGCTCTGCCTCAGCCGCTCCCGCCGACCGGAAGCAGGCGCCGCGCCACGCCGCACGGAACCCCCCGACACCGCGCGATGACCAATCAGAACGCCGCTCCGCCTCTCCCGCGGCTACGATCCGCGTTCTCATTGGTGGGTTCAGCTGTCCATCCTCTATTCCGCCCGCCCACGCTCCTCTCTCCCCCCGCCCCTTCGCTCCGGTTCACCGCCACCCCTCCCCGCGCCGTAGCCCCTCCCTCCCGGAGGGAGCCGCGGACGTTGATTGGCTGGAAAGCGCCACGTCCTCACCCGCGCGCCGGCAGGCGGCCACGCCCACAGCTCTGGCGCGCTCCTCACCGCGCATGCGCCGCGGGAAAGTTGGCGCGGGGGCGCGGACTGCGGTGGCGGGAAAGGGGGTGAGGTGCCACGTTGTGCGGGTGGATGGCGATGGAGGCTGTGGGGTCCAGGCATTAACACTGACCAGCCCATCACCAAACCGTAGCCATAAGCACCGCATCCCTGCCCTAAAGACCCTGAAGTGGTGGTGACCCCACCACAGCCTGTCCCAGTGCTTCACTTCCCATTCCATGAGGAAATGTTCCATAATCTCCAGTCTAAAACCTCCCTTGGTGCAGGTTGAGGCAGTTTTCTCCCATCCTGTGTATAGAGTTGAGTCACCTCACGCTGCTTTGTGTCTGTTCTGTCTCTAGCATGTATGTATCCCATTCCATGTCCCATAGCAATAGAAGCAACAGACTCTGGGCTGCCTCTTGGAATCTCTAGGGAATGGGGATGCTCTCCTTTGTATCCCATTCCCTGCCCAGAGAAGCCTCCAGACCCATGGAACCTACTACCTCCTTCATCCTCCTGCCTCTCCCGTGTCCCTCCCTATCCCCATTCCTCTCCAAAGCCCCTTCCCTGATGGAACCGAACACAAACTCAACCCCAGCACTTTCTTTTGTTTTATTTGGGAAAAGCCCTGGAATTCAGGGTCAGTTTGACTGTGTACCTGCCCTAAAACCCTGTTCAATGTGGATCTGTGCTGTCCCATCCCTGGCAGTGTTCAAGGCCAGGCTGGACGGGGCTTGGAGCAACTTGCTCTAGTGGAAGGTGTCACTTCCAACCCAAACCATTCCCTGATGTTTTGTGTCTGCCTTCAGCCTGTTCCCTGGCCCTGCTCCATGTCATTCCCAGAGCGCAGGTCCATGGCATGGAGCCCATCACGAGCGTGTGGTGACTGCATCGATCCCAAAAATAGCTCAGGAGAGTGCGCAGGGATCCAATGCCGGGAGCCGGGAGCCACAGCCCCATCACTGCTGCGTGACCCCATCAGGAGGGAATGTCTCA